TTAAAATGTAACTTAAGAATACTGGTAGTCATGTGCCTGGTGAAGATTTGATTATGCAAATATTGAATGATGCAGGTGTTGAATATAATTTTGTTCAAGATATGCTTGTTTTTCATGATTTTTACAGTTCAAAGAGACAAAAGTCACAAAACAAAAATAAAAAAACAGAAGCAAAAACAAAAAGAAGAAAGAGAAAGATAGGATGACTTGAAGCTCTTATAGTTCATTACCCGGTAGACGGCAACTCGCAGACAATGACAGTGACAACAACTCATAGATGCCAACGATAGATTTGAAGGCTGAAGAGGTTGAAGTTGAAGAAAGTTGTGAATGTAGCTCGCAGACGGCAAGGCAAATGGCAGACGTAGATGACAGATGAAGACAATGACGACAGATGTGAAGGCTGAAGAGGTTGAAATTGAAGGAAGTCACGAATGCAGCTCGTAGATGGCAAGACAAACAACAGACGCTGACCTTTAGATGAAGACGACGACAATGACAATAGAGGCAAATGCAAACGATGACAACGACGACAACGATAGATGTGAAGACTGAAGAGGTTGAAGTTGAAGGAGTTCGTGAATGGAGGAGAAGGAGCAAAAGCAATCGCAAATGGAAATGGGTTAAAAAAAATTGGTTTTAGGTTAGGGTTTTTTTATTGGACTGGATTTGGCGCTGTTTCGGTTGGGCTGGCTGTAACATCTACTGAAAACTAGTACAATGCATGCATAATAACAATGTAAAATTGGGCCCAAAGTTTTTTACCCCTATAAATCGGTAGCCAAAGCGAAACCCAATCGGACCAATCTGACTGCCATATGGGTTTCAGAATATAGCTACTGACGACACCTTAGGCAAAGGAATTGTCCTCCCAAAGACCTTGATCCCTTGGTCTTTTGGCTCCGCCATTCCCCAAAAGATAAAACCCCAAAATAAATAAAACCTCTAAAACGGTGAGTTTTAGGGTGGTGGTGTTGTAAGAAGAAAAAGTATTTTTATTGTTTTTATTTTCTGTTGTTGTAAGTGTAAGTAAAAGAGAGAAAGAGATCTAAAGAAATTTGACATAATGTGTCGTGTTTTTGAGAAATTGGTAATTGTAGATTGCTTTATGATTTTTGGCTCAATGAATATATGCAAAGCTTGGTATTTCGTTAAAGGGAAAATTAGTTAACCCATTTTCCCCTTAAATTGGTTTAGTTTCGATTCAGGAAAATTCCTGAGTTGAAAAACTGGTTTGGTTAAGAACCATGGTTAACTGGTTCGGTTAACTGCTTATGAACACCCTTAAGTGTGCCAATTCAAGAATTTCGATCTTCAATGCCAGAATTGATTCAAAAACCCAGAAAAGACAACACAATACTTAAAAAAAAAAAACAATAAAAAAAATCCAATCAACCTCCAATCATCAATCTCCATGTAACGCCCACATTAAAGTACGTAATTTTACTTATACCCTAATACCCTTAGTTGGATTTCTTTGAAGTTACCTTAAAAAATGTGAAGAAAATTCCTTAAAAGTTCATTAGGGGTAAAATAGTCATTTCACTCTTAATTAGATGAAAGAGTGAGGAGTGAAAAGAAATAAAATAACCTGGAGAAGTTAATAAAAATGAAGGTATTTTAGGAATTGACTAAAGGACATAGAGGAAATTTTATAGAAAGTGCAAAGGCAAAATGAGAATACATGCTTATATTATTTGATATAAGGTTTTATTTGAAGAAACCCTAACACACCTTCAGCCCTTGTTCACGCCACCTCTACCCCATTTTCTCTCAATTTTCTTCACTAATTTTCAAAGGAAAATCATAGGATTTGATTTAAATTTTTGGAGATTTTCAATCCTAAAGCATCCTAAGGTAAGATTCCAGCAAAAGAAGTGTGATTAGACTTTAAAGTTTTAAATTCTTCTAGTTTTTATATGATCTAGGTCCAAGAGGAAGAGATTTAGAGCAAAAGGGAAGTAACCTCACATATTCAAGGTAATTAAACCTAATTTGAGCTAGACTTGTGTTGAATGAATTATTACATGTTTATATATGATATGAGAGAATTATTGGTTGTTTTTTATGTTTAATGATGTATAAATTCTAGTCATGAGAAGTAGTGTATGGTTATGTGATGATTTGGTGAAGTTGTGGAAGATTTTGTATTGAAATTTTTGGAGTATAGAGAAGTGAGAAATTCGGTTAGGTTTGATACTAGATTTAGTGAGTTTTTGGCTCACAATTTGGTTGAATTAGAGAGTTGTGGAAGTGTAGCCAACATGGTAATTGCATGTGCATATGAAGTGTTTGATGAAAATCCAAAGAGAAATTGCATGCATGAGTTGGCTAAATCCTAATGAAGAAAGGGTTAGAGAAAGGAAAGAATTGAAGTTTTATTGTCTATCATTGATCTTTTAGCATGTTTTCACAGGGGAGAATGGTTATGAAATGTTAGGGAGTAAGTGGAGGTAAATAAGTATGGAAAAGCCTTAAAGTAGGCATGTTACCAAGGTTGCCCTGTCAAATTTGTGACCTTCTGAGTGATTTTTGGGCATCTTACCTATCGATCTGGGTTGAGTTTTTAACATAAAATTGTAGCCATTTCTCTAAGCTTTAAAACGAGACCAAGACCATAGCAATCCGATGTGTATAACTCGAGATATGCCTTCTTGAATATGACATGTGTAGAATGACTACCTCAAAAGTGCTTCCAAATTATTAGTTTATTTTTAATCTAATAATCTATGATTGATTCCAAGTATGAAAATGATGCTTAAAGGGTTGTGAAACATGTTTGAATGAGTGGTCTTTGTGATTAATTAATGATTGTATGAACATATATATTTGATGTAATGAATGACTATGGAGGCTATGTGTAGTATGTTATATATCACCTAAGTATGAGCTTGTGTATGTATAAACAAGCCTAATGATGATATGTTTCTATGAATTTGTTATGCATCCACGAAATGGTCATGATGAAATGATATGTTCATATATGGAAAGTGTATGTTTTTAAAGAATGCAAGTGTAGAATTTCCATAGCTTGGAAATCCATGTTGAAATGCGTATAGTATCTCTTTCTATAGCATGCGATGATATAAGGTTTTTGCGATGGGGAACCCGTGAGTGACAGAGACGTCCACATATAAGCTGCCACGAGCGAGCGACATCAGCAGAGAGATACAGTATTTGTATAGTCCGTGAGTAGTGTATGTGGATGAGGACTGTACCCAGTAGAGCATACCTACATGCACGCCTCCACGAGCGAGCGACCACAACAGAGAGATATAGTACTTTTACAATCTATGAATAGTGATGTAGATGAGGACTGTACCTACTCACATGGTTAGGGTTCCAAATCCATGCATCAACCTAGTCCGATCACCAAACTAAAAAGAAGAAATAAAAGAAAGAGAAATAGAAAAGAAAAGAAAGAGATACAACATAAAAGAAACAGAAACAAAAAAGAAAGGAAAGAGATACAACATAAGAGAAAGATAAACATAAAAGAATGAAGAATATAATCAAAGAATAAAGTGAGAAAAGGAAAAATCCGAACATGAGTAACAGAGGAAACACAGTAATGCAGTTTGATTTACTTACTGAGCAATTAGTGCTCACTTCGTTAATTTACTGTTTTGCAGGTATTAGATGATTTACGATCGGGTAGGACGTCAAGAAGTGGAAGAGTTTGGCGGCACTGTTCAAGATTACCTTATGTTTACTAAAGCATATCAGTATTTTATGTATATATTTATATGAATTAAAAATTAGAATTTTCGGATTTACATTATGTATATATGTTTGTAAAAGTTATTTAGTGGATTTTATCTTATATTTCTTACATAATTACTAGCTATACAATATATTACACTCCACTCCAATAATCAAATCAAACTACAATCGAACTAAAAAATCAACAAATTCGCAAAACCCTAAGGGAGGTGACAGACGACAAACGACGAGCAGTTGCCATTGGGGCTGATGGGGGTTTTGGTTGGGAGGAGGTGGTGATGCAACTGATGGTGTTGGGAAAGACTTCCGGCACAGGTAGCAGTTGTAATTTGGGTGGAAAGCTGTGACAATCATGCAAAACCCTAACAGTGTGATTCTGACGATTGGCGAGCAATTGAGGTTTAGGGTGTTGGGGGTTTTTGACAGGAGGTGCCATTGGAGAGAATAGTGGGGTCAGGGTCGATTTTTGACGTCAGGATCGACCGAAAAAGACTTGGAAGTGCACAGACCAAAAGAGGGCAATGGTCGGGGATTGGCAGGTCTATGAGGTGGGGGTGATAAGGGTTTTGTTGTGTAGGTTGAGAGAAGTAAGGTGGTGGAGTTAGGAGGTTCAAACGATGCCGAAACAGGCTGGAGTGGCAAGAGACAGTCGTCACTCATGGATGTTTTAGGGGGTGATAAAGGTTATTTTTCTAATTCTATCAATTTGGGAGTTAAAAAATAATTTATTTGTCAAGGGCAGTATGGTAATAGTATCTTCTGCACTTGTGTTAGAACTTAAAAATCACTATCGGTATTGGTTTAAAGATAAGAATTTAGAATTTATGAAACTAGTGATAAAAACTTGTCATTTTGTCAAACCTTGAGTTGAAACATGTTGTTTACTCTTATTTTATTTTTGGTACCCAAGAGTTGCCTTGAAATTACCTCCCTTAATTTTAAATAATAATAGTAATAACAATAATAAAGTTAATAATAATAATAAAAAAAAAGATTGATTGCACAATTGCAGTTTAAGATGATCCTAAAAATTAAAAAGTAACCACCCTATTTATTTCGACCGGAGAGATCAGCTTTGTGTTTGGGTATCGGTCAACCGCTCTCTAACCTAGACTGATGTAAAGCCCAATAGACGGTGCCGTATTGTGTATTGTAGATTTTCTTAGGGGCGGTAAGAGTAGAAATTTGAATAGAGAAAATGGCGGTAACTTCTTTACAATCTCTATTTGATCTGTGTCTAACCCATTAATAGAACTCACTTAAACAAATACAGAACACAAAAATATCATCAATCATGGGAGATTCTGATAATGGTCAAGAGAACAGCGCGCTCTCTTCTTCCAGAAAGCGAGTGGTGCTGGGTGAAATTACCAACTTCTCCAACGTCGTATGCCAACGACCATTTAAAAGGAAGTACGGGAAAGATTCCCAGCTCCAGTTGACGACTCGGGAGCGTAATAATAGATTGAAGAAGGAAAATGAAGAGGGCATTAAACAGGAGGAGAGCAATGAGAGCTCCAGTGCTTCCCGTAAATGTGGTTATCCTTCTTCTATATATGAACATCTTCGATCCTTGGAGGTATATATGTAATGACAAATTGCCTAATTAAAAATAAAATTCCCCTGATAGTGTGGGGTAGTGAATTTTTAGCGTTAGAATTCCCCTTTCGTTAGAGTTCTTTTAAGTTTATATGTCATTTGATTTTAGCCTTATCAAGTTTTGGTTTCTATGTTTTGTTACTTTCTAGGATTAAGTCAATGCGTTTCCTGAAGAAGATCTTAAAAGTACAAATAATCTGATTGCATTGATGTAATTTTAATTTTTTTTTCTTTTTTAGTTTCAGATGCCAGTTATTAGGTTCATTTGGATTTAGAATTTGGTTCAAAGCATTTTACAAGGACTGGCTTATAGTTTATAGAATAAATCTTTAGTCTGACGTCTAAATACTAATTTGTGAGGACCTTGCTTATATACCATTGGATATAGTATCAGTTCAATGGGATGAATCAACCAGTGATTAAACACGGTCTTGATGAAATTAGTATCGGAACATCATGACTAGTGAAGGACTCTATTTTACATAAGAATTTTAAGATTTGCGGTGTCAACAGACCTTTGATTTGGAGTCTGTTCATTGAAATTTTGCACATATAAGTTTTGATTTTATCAATTTGATTTGGAAGATTGATTTTCTGGATTTCTTTCTTTTGAGGTCTGCAAATACTCCAGCTTTGAGTTGAGAAATGAAGACAAGAAAATAAATCAAGATTATAGTTGTGGTTTTGTTTTGTTTGCTACAAAACACAGGAAGTTTATGATATGATGATATGCATTTCTTTTTCCTATCTCAATAATTAAACTTGGTTTTACACTTTTGATCATAAGTTAAAGCCATGTATTTTGGGCAGTGGTATATTACATGGACTGATAATTGTAGCCACTTCTCTTCTGTAAAAAAGAAAATGGTTTAATATGACAGGATGATGTACTGTCATTCCCTCTGCCTAGCAAGTAGCAATCAATTCAATTTTACCCTTCTTATGATGACTTGGAACAATTTATTTTGGGCCACTGATGCTTACATGTTCTGATAATGATAATTTGCCATTCAGATAGAGGACAAGAGGAGGCCATTGGCTAATTACATGGAAAAAGTTCAGACTGACATTTCAGTGAATATGCGAAAAATTCTAGTGGATTGGTTGGTTGAAGTTGCAGAAGAATACAAGCTTGTATCTGACACCCTTTATGTTGCTGTAGCATATGTTGACAGATTCCTTTCTTTCCAAGCTCTCACCAGGAACAAGCTACAGCTTCTTGGAGTTTGTTGCATGCTTATCGCCTCGTACGTACACATGAAAACCTTCATTTTTGTTTTATATTGCCATAATTTGACTTAGTTCTATTCTTGAAATGATAGTCCTTTACTTATTTGGTGACACAGGAAGTATGAAGAGATCATTCCTCCACATGTTGAAGACTTTTGCTATGTAACAGATAATACCTACACAAAGGAAGAGGTGTATATCCATCTCTTTCTTTATTTGATTGAGCCCTCTTGTTTTTCCATTTTCCTTCTCATGTTTTGCCTTTGTTGAATTTCAAGGAAGAAGCTCCTTAAATCGGCCAAACTTAGTATTTTGCCCATTGAGTTCATGTCCTTGTTTTTGAGCCAGCTCATTTGTCTAGATGTTCTTGTCAACCAAACTACCTGCGTTTGTCTCCTGTGCTCTGCTAAGTGATCTCATTAGACTTCAGTGTAAAGATTTAAGATGGTTTTTGGCTGAGTCTGCAGGTGGTAGAGATGGAGGAAGAAGTGCTCAAGTTTTTGAACTTTGAAGTGAGTACTCCCACGATAAAGAATTTTCTCAGGTGAGATTAGTACTGGAATTTGCTTATTTTAATTTAATTTTTTTATTTTTTGCATCTGATATTATTATCATAATCCGGAGGAAATTGTTGGGATTACTGCCTAATAATTAGTGCAACTATGGCATATTTCATGTTGGAACTGTAGGGTATTCACAGGAGTTACACAACAGAATTGCAAAGTAAGCACTCTCCTGTCTTATGTTAATTCTAGTCTCACCTATCTTTTCCTTTCTGTAGTGAGTCTTGTGACTGATGCTAGAATCTTTGTGCTCCACAGAAGCCAGATTTACAGTTTGAATTCCTAGGCTGTTATCTTGCGGAGCTAAGTTTATTAGATTATAGTTGTCTGCGGTACTTGCCTTCACTAATTGCTGCATCAGCTATCTTCCTTTCAAGATTTACGATCCAACCAGAAATACATCCTTGGGTGAGAAATATGTTTTGATTATCCTTCAGACTTTTAGTTGTTCATCTGTGAGAGTGCAAAACTTGAGATTCAGCAAATTTTGGTACTTTTAGTAATTTGATCAATTGGGAGTACTATAAAAAATGTTAGGAAGCTAATGTCAAAACTCAAGGCAAAGTTCTAACTGTAAAAGCATGTTAAGAACTACAGCTGGCATGAAGTACTTGTAAAAGGAACAACTACTTGAATAACTTGCTTGGTATTTAACCATTGATGATTAACCAGTAATCAATACTGTTAAAAGTCATCGCACTCTAAAAATTATCCCAGTAAACGAGTGAAAGTTTATTCTTGTAATATTTAGCAGAATACGCTGTTGCAAAGCTTTTCTGGTTATAAACCATCCGACTTGAAGGAATGTGTCCTTGCCATTCATGACTTGCATTTGAACAGGAGAGGAAGGTCTCTGCCTGCAGTCAGAGAGAAATACATGCAACGCAAGGTATTCTAGTTAATTTTCTTTCTTAATCTGGTGACTAGTGAATCTAGTTTTTGAAGAACTCTAGTCTGTATAAGGACATGGACGTAACAACGGTGCCAATGCATTGACAGATTTACTTAGAGCGTTTAGGACGTGAGATTACTAATTTGCTATAATAATCTGACCAGAAATTGAATGATGTTTTGGCAACAGTTTAAGCTCGTAGCGAAACTATCTTCCCCCTCTGAAGTGCCTGCACGTTATTTTGAGGCCATAGATGAGTAAACTATCAACAAGATTTTCTGAGAAGTGGACTCCACTGAAGTTCGAAATGGTGTTGTTGATAAGTTCCTTCTGACTGATAGCAGTAAGTTTTTTTCTTTTTGGTCTTGCTCAATGTGATGGTGTTATAATTCAACCACTGGTTGATTGAGCTCGCTTTTAAGCTCAGGTGCCGGTTAAAATCACAGGCAGCAAGTTGGCTTTTGACGAACAATGAGATTATTAGTTCTATGTTTAAAAAAAAAAAAAAAAATTGTACATCATTGTCGATCTTAATGGTTTGGCGGAAGAATGTGGTTCCTCTGGGGATATTATTATTGCTTTTGGTTTCCTGGTTGAATTTAAATAAGAGTTAAAACTTTGATTTATCTTTCTACTTCATTGAATTTTATATAGCTTAACTAGTTTCCTTCTTGATTTTCCTTTTTAATTGGCGTTTCTTTTTATAGTTAAAAAGAAAAATAGCATAGATATAAAAAACTATCTTTGGATGATCTAATAGTTCGATAGGGATTTTAGGGTATATTTTTTAAGAGGTTTTAAATTGGAGTCATTTCTTAAAAGTTAATAAGGGTAGTTATTAGAATTCTTATCCGATTGATAGTTTCAGGTTTCTAAGAATTAGTTGAGGTATGTATAAATTGATTCAAAAGATATCTTTGATCATTAAAAAAAAAAAAAAAGAGTTAATGTTTGATGACAGTTCTTTTTAAACAAAGATTAAATAACAATCTTACATACAAATTTGATTCTATCTACCTCTTAATGTTTTATATGATTATTTATTTATATTGATACAATCTTTAATCCAAGGGATGTCAATGGGGCTGGTATTAGGTGTTTCATAACTCATTATTAAGATGATAGGATGGCCTTTTTTTTTTTTTTTAATTTTTTTGAGTAAACAACTTTTTCCCACCTAAGGTTTGCTTTAATCGGCACTTTTTCACCTAAAAAGTTTTAAGATACTATTTTGTCATCTAAAGTTAATATTTTGTTACTATTTAAAGCCGATTTTAGTGGTAAATTTTTTTTTCACTTTCATTTTTCTCTCTACAAAATATCTTTTACTTTGACACTTGATATATTGTTGATTGTTGGTTATTACAAAGTTAGGGTTTTTTGTTCTTAGTTAATTTTTAATTGATTTTGGCAGTAAATTCATTGTTTTAAAACTCAGACCGGAGGGCAAACTGTTTTGTTGCTCGGGTCATGGGTCAAATAGTTGGATCGATGATGTCAGTAACAATTTTATTTTTAAAAAATTATTATTAATCCCTTAAATTTTAATATATTACAAAAATTTCCCTAAAAAAGTTTAATTAGTCCCTAAAATTTTTATTTATTTAAAAAAATACCCCAAAAAAATACCAATTAATCCTTAAACTTTTAACATATCTCCAAAAACACCCCTATAAAATTATAGTTAACCCTTATAATTTTGAAATATTACAAAAAATCCCCTAAGACCTGAATTGGACCGGACAAACTGTATGGTCTTGGTCGGACTGGTCCAATCAACTGGTCCGGTCTGATTTTTAAAATAGAGGGTGAATATTTAATTAGTCATTACTATTCGATCGACCTCTACTCTACCAAACCTTTCTTACTTTGGCTCTAGGTAACTCGCGGAATATCGATTGAGAAAGTGAAATGTATTTTAGGTATTAAAAAAAATATAAACTTTGGGTGGGAAAGTGGTATTTTAAAAAAAGTTTGGGTGAAAAGTAATTAAGGAAAACCTTGGGAGGGAAAAAGTTGTTTACTTTTTTTAATCAAAAATTTATTACGCTTTGTTTTACTTATTTGTTTATTAAAAAAATTAAATTTAATACAATATATAAAAAGATATTTTCTAAAAATAAATTAACCAATATAAAAATTTAATAAATATGTAACAATAAAAACTTGAATCGCATTTAATGGAAAAAAAATTATTTCCCGTGTTTGTAAATTGTAATTTTAATGTAACAGTATCCATTATTCGGGTCATGAGTCAGAGTACTACTCATATCCGATCCGTCAATACCCGGATCGATTATTACCGGGTCTCATATAGTCGCTCTGTCGCTGCTATTCACGAAACACAATCAACAATAAGCGCAGCAAAGAATCCAAATTGAACAACACAAAACAAAACAAAACAAAACGGTACAGATAAATCAAGTAAACGAGCGGCGCAAAACCGGTGGAATCGGTGATGGAGATGGAGGTGGACGAGAAGGACCTTAAAGCAGCGGGTGCCGTTCCGTTGACCGATGGACGCTGTGGGCTTCTAATTCATGGCTGGGAGATTGAGTCTCGCAAACGCGCCATTCTCAATTCCTCTGCTGTTCAAGAGTACTCTCATATCTTCTCATACTTCATTTACTTGTATTATTTCCTAATTCATTATTTTAATCCAGTTTCAAACTAGCAAATGGATGGAATTAGCTTAGCTACGTTGCTGGGAACATTCATGAGTTAGCGGAACAACGTACTCTTGTTAATATCATATTATACAACAAGACAGTAGTAATATTGCACGACAACTGATCATGATTTTTATATAATGTCATAAGTTAAGGTTATATGTTAAGTCTGACATTTCCTGTAACTTTGCATTGTGGTAATATTGTATGACCCTAGAAAATGTTATTATTATTATTTTTTAATCAAAATTTTGCTGCTGTTATTTTGGTTATTGAGATGATTTTGGTTTGTAAATATTGATCGTTCATGTGGTTGCAGGTGGGAACAAAAGCTGGAGACAACGCATTTGCCGGAGATGGTTTTTGGAGAGAGTTGTTTGGTCCTTAAACATGTTAAAAGTGGTACTAAGATTCATTTTAATGCATTTGATGCTTTAGGTGGCTGGAAGCTGGAAGGTTTGCCACCAGTTGAAGTTCCTGCTGCCGCAAAATGGAAATTCAGGAGGTAATCACTGCAGACATGTTTCTTTTCTTCTTTGAGAATTGAAATAGATATATATGAAAATAGGGATAGCTAATGCATGGCAGATGACTAGTAAGTGCCATTAATGGGCTTTTTTTTTTTTTGTTGTCTCTTCTCTTTTATCCCCTTTATAATGTAAGGTCTGCAGATTCTAATCACAGAAAGAATTGAAAGCCGTTACTTCCTCAAGTTAATATGTGAGCATAAATATAGGTCCTGTTACATAAATGGTGAATTGTGAGCTTTCCAACTTTCTATGATTATCTGTCAATTGATTTTAAATTTTCACAAATGGAACATAGATATATTATGAAGCCAGGATCTTTTTAATGGAGTTTGGATATTTTCTCCATGATTGGATGTATCTTTTTGCATTGAAATGTGTTCTTATTAAAAAAAAAAAAATAATCTTGTTCCACTTGAATGTGGACCATGTGGATGGTATGGATATAATTGTGAAATAAGTGCATAAGCCTGAAATCTGCCTGATGAGCCATAGTTTAATCTTGCTGTACTAGCACCCATTAATTGTTTCTTTGATCTCTAAGATGCATTATAACCACAAATAGAAGTATGGTGAACATTTGTTGCTTGGTTAAGATTTCTGCTCATGGATTCAACACATATTTTATTTATGCATTGCCAAGAAGTTCTTAGTTCTTCTAGAGAGACTTAACAGCTTTTCTCCTCGATCCAGGACAGTAATTATAATTTGAGCTCAGACACCTATTACTGAAATGATGTGTTTTTTCTCATCAAGATCTTTTCTACAATTTAGTATCTGAATTACTGGGTTAAGAAATCGTGAAGAAATGAAAAGAACTCTTTCAACTCTTATTCTTCTCATATTTTTTTTCCTCACTATGTATTGCATTCACTAGGTCACAGCTAACTGTTTCTACTTTTGTTGATCCACTGAATATGCAAATGGAGACTTTGACATGCATCACTGTTTTGGGATCTGCATCTAATTGATTGTTACCAGTTAAATTGTCTGACTGAGAGAAACTGGACTTTGGTCTCATGGAACTTTTGTTGATTTGCAGCAAACCATTTGAGCAGGTGATACTAGATTATGACTATACATTCACAACACCATATTGTGGAAGTGAAACAATTGAGGTCGATATGGAGAAGGTTTCTGCTTCCTGTTTATCTATACTAATTTTGCAATCCTCCTATCGTAATTTTAATTAGAATCTTGTTGCATTCTGAGCTGTTTATCTAATTGGCATGTGCAATAGCACTGTTGATTTGAATTCATAATATATACTCCCTTTCTAGTCTCATGTTTAATAATTATTATTGAAACTTAAGGGATTTATAATGAGCATTTACCACCATGGATACTGTTCTTTGATTTACATGAACAGTGATGCTAAATCTTTGGTTTTCTTTGTTCTGATCAGCATGGAAGTGGGAAAATCTTGGAGGCAAACTCCAACCTCCACTGGGAGGACTGTGAGGAGAAAATTGATGTGGTTGCACTGGCATCAAAAGAACCTATTCTTTTCTATGATGAGGTGGGCTTCTTGGGTTATACCTGTGGGTAATTGTCATATATGTTTCATCTTTTAGTTCTCTTTGGTTGGTATGTAAGCCATGATGAAAGTAATACGTCCAATTTTGCAGGTGGTTTTATATGAAGATGAATTGGCTGATAATGGGGTGTCACTTTTGACTGTGAAAGTGGTAAATCTTGAATTAATGGCTTGTTGTTTCTAGTATGGGTATGATATCCTTTTCATTCAACTAATGACATTGCCTTTTGTCCATTAGAGAGTCATGCCAAGTGGTTGGTTCCTTCTCTTGCGGTTTTGGGTGAGTTATTCCATTCTAATTTCTTAATTCTTACCTATTTGTCAGGCTAAGCTAAGTTATTGGAACATTTGTTTCTCAAAATATATATCTTTTGTTGGCTCCAATAAAATAATTGCTAGGGTATGTTTGTATAAACTGTGTAAGATATTGCTTACTAGGTTTGTTCACTTGTGCTTGCTGTTTCTCATACTTGTATGTTCTTAAGTCACGGACTCAATTCTTCTTCCTACAGCTTAGAGTTGATGGAGTACTTATGAGATTGAGGGATACTAGGATGCATTGTGCTTTTGGTGGCAGTGGAAACCCTATCATTCTTCGAGAGAGCTGCTGGAGAGAAGCTACTTTTCAAGCTTTATCTGCAGTGAGTTTTCAACTTCCTAACCTAATTTGTTTGCGAGTGTGTCTATGTGTAATGAGGAAACTTTTAGTGTTCTCTTTTGTGTGTTCAGAAAATAATCTTGCCTCGTATATTTTTAATGTTTTTAAGGAGTTTCATCTTTGTTTATATTTCTTAGTTTTGGGGTGCCAAAGGGTTTTGTCAATAACTGTTTTTAGCTTTGGTGGTGGTGGAGTGGAAAATCAGTTTGGTTTTAAAAACAAGTCTCACCTCTGGGCTTATTTGAATTATGGTGATAACTTTCTATCTGAAATCTAGAGGAGTTTGGAGGTACTCCACTGTGTATATGTAAAGTATTCTAAAGGAAAAATTTTGTTAAGAGTTTTATTGGTTGAGAGAAAATGCTGATTCAAATTCAATGAAGTAACCTCTCCTTGGTATGGAAAATTCTTGTATTGCACAGTAAGGAATTTTTCCCTAAAGTTTGATAGCCAAAAAATCCCAAGCAAAGTTGAACTATGCTCCTTGCATTGGATTCTGGTACTCTGGAAATTTAATGGCCAAAAATTTCATCCCATCTTTTCATATATATAGTCTTATACATCTACCATGTTTATTTGACCAGATTGATTGTTGATGAATGGCTTATTGTTTTGGCTTTCACTGGTATCATGTTTTCCAATAAATCTATAGGCTTCTTCTTTTTTGCCTTTTGAGATTTTGAACCTTACTTAAGTGGGGTATGAATGGAAGCTGTTTTCTTGGGTACTAATAAAAACTTGTGTAATGTGTTATAAATTTTGATGCATTGGTTCTTTATTTTTATGGTGCAGAAAGCATATCCTATTGATTCTGCTGCATATGGTGATCCAAGCATCATCAGCCAGAGGCTTCCTGTCATCATGCATAGGACCCAAAAGCTTAAAGTCTCTGGTAACTTATAGCAGTGTAAATTATCTTCAGCAAAAGGATCCAGAACATTCCAATGTCGTGATTGTTGTGAATTTGTTGACTTTTTACGTGGGTTTCATACATACATAAATCTCGTTTCTTTGGTTTTAATATATGCTTTATAAACTCTTTTGCTAAATGATTCTTGAATGGTAACCAAGAATAACCATCTGATTGCTTTTACTAATTTACAAATTCCCAGTTGTGTCTTTTTACTTCGGTGATCATGGCAAGTGACGGGAGTAGGAGCAGAAGTGAACTGGCGTTGTCTTGGAAACTAGGAGACTAGTTTCTAGGTTTGAAGTATTTAGGGAACATTAGAATAAAAGCAATATGCTGGAAGGAATCTCAAAACATTTATTTTATACGTAAAACATAGCTTATATCCTTTTTATGGTATGGTGGTAAGACTGCAATAATGTGTTATGTTGGATTGGTTCTACAAGGCGAGAGTAAAGATTTGTGAAGTAACAAAAGGTTTGGGTGCTCAGAGCTAATGAAAGTGGGTTTCAGAAATGGAAGTATCATATGTTGTAGTTGTTTCTTTTTGTATAATTTCAGGTCTGAATTGGTGCAGACAGCAAAACAGATTGCAATAGTATATGTACTTGAGCTGCTAGAACTTCCTAGACTAATAGGACTCTAGATCATCTGACATACCAAATCAAATTTGGTACATAGAACCATTATTTTCTCATGTTCTAAAAGTCTTCATAGGATGCTGGCAGCAAATTCAATTTAAAAATGCCATAAGAAAATGCAAAAACAGAATATGAATAGAGATTGTAAGGTTCAATGGTTGTAAATTTAGCTAGGGTAATGAAGTGTGTATTTTCTTCTTGGACATGGTTGCTTTTGTGCAAATGGATAAAGATTTCTTTGGGATAGAATGACATTTATACAACCCAATAGATTAAGGTAGAAGAACAGATAGAATGGGATATGTAAATGTACCAAATGGAAAGATTCATTAGGAAGCGAAAAGTATCATCTATTTCACTTACTGCCACAACTTCTTCGAGATTTAAGGAACTTAAGATGTAGTGCTGCAGCTCTATCAAGATTACAGCTACAACCAGGGTTCAATATAACTTGCGTATGTCATACTAATATCAATTTTTATCAAAGTATGGAATAATAATTGGTTCAGTGAATCTTATGATGTATAGTTATTGGAATTTAGTAACAGCCAGCTCTCCTGATTGTTATGCAAATAGTTGTAATTTTCCTTGATGATGCTCATGCTGATCCTGTGAATATCTTTCTCATTAAAATTTTTATAACTATTAACATAACTATGGTTGAACCATGGATGATGAATTTGAAGAAAACTAGAAGTTGATATTAGGGTTGGCGAGAAACCACCTTACAGACTTGGTGAATGTAATTATAATGCATCAGGATTTATTTAAGCACTTTGAAATTATTAATAACTGACAATTGAGGCTGTCTCTTAGGTTTTGTTGTGCTACAACATGCATACTAGATAGGAAGTTCTTGGTTTTTCTTCTAGTTCTGTAGGCAGAATCACCATCCAAGATTTTAACTTTCAAAGCAGTTGGGTTTCTACCTAAGTTAGTTTCTGTACTTGATGGATGAACAAATAAAGAACTGTTCCAGTAGGAAAGACGGTAATAGAAAATTCCAGACTTGGTAATACAACAGATAGATCACAGTTGGAGATTTAAATCAAGCTTGAGTGGCTCGGATGGTGGCTCTTGTAGCTGGGGATTCAAGTGAAAGCTGCCTGGCCACATCACATCCATTGCATCCTCCAGCATGTAAGGTGTACATGCCATTCCGAATTCTGTATTGGCTTCATTAAACCTTCCTACAAGTGCAGTTCCGTCTCTGCCTGGCTTGTGCACAAGTGAATGGGGCCTGATGCCTAGTGATCGGACCATAGCAGTGTGCATGGGCAAACCCATCATTGTGATCATTCTCTGGGATTGATATCTTCTAGCTGCACCTCTCTCCCTCTTGTGGGCATTCTGGTGACCCCCTAATGCTTGTGAACTGAAAAACTTCTTGATGCAGAAATTACATGAGAAAACCTTGGCAGAAGTAGGTCTTAATTGTGAGGCAGATTCTCTACCTGTTGAGACTGAATTCCGACCTAACCCCAGATTCAGCCACTCTCCTGGATTTTCATCTTCTGTACTCTCTCTTCTCATGTCACCTTGGCTCCTGTTGTATGTTGTTTCAGTTGCTTCATGTCTCTCTAAAATCATTTCTATACAAATCTCAAACTAGTTAAGGGTGTCAAAAGAAGTGTGGCTGTGTGGAATTATTATAACTTACTCTTTGAAGATTTAGATCAAATGGAGAGAGGATATAAGTGGGGAGAGTATCAGTATCACAATAGAAAGGTAGTGAAATTGGATTTTGTTTTTTTATATTTTATATTTTATCTCATTTCAATTCAGTGGCCCTACTAGTTGATGCTTGGTGTTCCAGGGGACGTTGCTTTCATCATTTTACTGTTTTCTTTGTCAAGCTAGGATTCCCCCACTTTCATATTTCTCCTTTTCGTTTTCTTCTCCTCAAATTATATGGACTTTATGTGGTTTCAGTTGTTGACAGCCAAAAACAATTTTGTGGAAGTCAAAATCATAATCTTGCAACTTGTATTTCCTGTGATGAATGCCCCTTTACCCACCAATTAAACTACTCAAATTGCCATATAATCAACTGCTGTTAATTTTATTTGTTGTTCAGAACTAAATTATCAGGTGATAGAATATTGATCGATGCATGAGTGATCTTATCTATATAGCTGTGATGGTTATTTGGAAATTTTACCTTGTGATGGGGTAGATTTGAGGGTGATGCATATATACTTGAAGGCAATAATTAACAAAGCCCAGAAGGTCAAGTCAAGTTGGTGTTAAATATGATAAAAAAGATAGCAGTCACCAGAAACCCATGTACACGTTGTTGATAGAAATGAGTAAATGATAAGCTTTGCTGAATCTGAATCAAGATTTGAAGTGAGTGGTGGCAGGATTTGCTTTTTCTAATGTAATTGCCTTATGATGATTTTTATGTTTGATGGGGCCAGAGAATTGCCAATAATGGTGATAAAAGCAGGAAATAAATTGGGGCGGTATCTTTCCAATTTTAATTGTGTTTTTTTGGTTGAGCAGGAGTATCTTTGTGGGTGTCTTCATGTTGGAGCTTCTGTTCTTCCTTTTAATTATGTAGTGGGCAATGTATATATACAGTAGGAGAAGTGCATTTAGAGCCACTTGTATATTTATTCTTACTTTTCTTTTTTTCTTTTTTGTTATAAAACTATACCTCCTCAGTTGCCCATAATGATATTATTATTATTTGCTGCACAAACACAGAGACAGGAAAACACCCCCTTACCCCACCAATGAAAATTTTCCTTTCTGTGAATTAAAAACTTGTGCGTTGTTGAATAGGTGAAAAAAGAGGAAGTTTTGTTTGTTAGCTTTCTGGGTTATTGAAGTCTTAAATTTAATGGACGAGTCCGAAGAGTACTTGGAAAGTCTTTTAGTGTAAAAGACATTATTGTGCCTTCGGTCCTAAATTAAGTTGGATCATTAATTAGACTTGATACGTTTTAATCAGATAAAAGTTAAAGTCACAGGTTTTATACTGTGTGCGTTGAATTTAAAGCATTATTGCCTTTTATGGGTTGGTTTTCTTGATTGAAACTTCACAAAAGTTAGCAAAGGCATCTCTTCCTTTATGGTTGGCATGATAAACCCTTTAGCCATTAGGATTAATTATACTTAAGGGGTTTTGTGTTTGAGTTACATGAGAGATATTTATCACATTTGTACAATTACTTAGTTATTGGACTTATAAGGTGTTTTGTGACCTTGAAGATTGGCAGACTTCAACGTGGACCTGAACTTTATATACCTAAAAAAAAAAAAAAAAAAAAAAAAAAAAAAAAAAAAAAAAAAAAAAAAAAAAAAAAAAAAAAAAAAAGAAAAGGTTAGCAAAGGCAATTTTGAAGGGTAAATAATAATGGGTATGTATTGAACTTGACACTTTGGTGAGGTTCTTACATTTTAAAGTAAAATTTAACATCTGGGAATTCTGATAGTTTTGGTCTCTTGGAGGTTTGGTTGAGGATTAGCAAAATGTTAGCATATTAAGAGTAAGAAAATGGTTTTTTTTTTTTTTTACCTTCCATCTTATTAACAAGGGGAAAATTAAGAAGACATTGTTGAATCTACTGGTCGGCAATGCATAACTTATGGCAAATGTATTTGTATTATCAGACCCATATTGAAGACCAAGAATGTAGCCAACATTTGTAATGGGTGTGTTTAATACATTTAAGTTGATAAATTTATAATAAAATTTTGTGGGGTCAATATGAATTTAAATGAGGTCAAAATTGTAAATATTATAAAATATAAAACTTTTTTTTTTTTTCAAAGTTTGAGTGAGTTTAATGTGAATTTAAATAGAGTTAAAATTGTAAATACAATAAAATATAATTTTATTTATTTATTTATGTTTGAGTGGGCTCAATTGAACCCATGTATAATAGTGGGTCTACGTCTCTGTTATAGGCATTTGCTCGAACTAATAATATAGAAGAGAAATGTAAACATTCTCCTTTTCACTTTTCTTACTCTCGTTTAAACTGTTAATAACAAAATTAACAACCCTTTTATTATAAAACCAATTTTCAATTTTTCTCGTTTGTTGTATACATGTTGAAAGGAGAGTGAAAGGGAGAAAAAGAATGTTGGTGGCATTTTTTTTGTCAAAGAAATATTATGTATAATACCATGAATTTACTGATTAATTAAAGAGATATGGTTTTCATGTTTTATACAATTTGACCCAAGAAATATGTGTTTGTTAACCCTAAGTGATTGGCTTGATAGTCAAAAAGGTTTGTTCCATTAATTGAGTTTTTGAGTTCGAAACTTAGGTCATCTATTACATTGTAACTTACCTAACTCTTTAAGCTTGTAAGATATTTAATGGACTCCAAGAAGACTAGTGCGCAAATTGGTCTAGATACTCCAGTTTAAAAAACAAAGTCAAAGTGTTTGTAACTAAGGCAGTTTTCCTTTTAAGAAATAAATAGGTGATATTATTAAAACTAAAAAATATTAACAAACTGGAACCTTCATATGATAGCTGTGTGGACATGCCTTTTTATAAGGTGTGCTTCACGAACTTACTCTTGTATTATAAATGGGATTTTACTAAAAAGTAAGTTGACATTAGAATGCCCTTAAAGTGGTGCTAAAGCCAGTTGGTTACCAAGAAAGTGGAGTATAACTAAATATAAATAGCTGATTCGAAGGTTGAAAGTAGAAGATTAAGGGAATCTTTTAACAATAACTTTTAATGATTCTCAGGGAAGAAAGAGAATAAAATTGATAATGGTGATGTCATGAAATTGAGATAAAAAGCACAAGTCATTGTTATTGATAACGACGATGATGTAAAGCAGTTGAAGGATATTTATCTTCCTAATTGAGATTTGATTTCTTATTTCAGATTATTTTCTATTTGAAGATTGTATTTGTTTTCCCTTTTGGGACTAGCAAGGCTTTTATTTTAGGAAAGTTAATTATTTGAATTGTCATAGAAGGCAGCCAGAACTGACTTATGCCTCCATTAAAAGTCTCACAAATACAGAATTAATTAATGTTATCTGTGTCTCTAATCTCTATATATAATGTGTATAAATCTGTATTGAAAATGAACAAAGAAATTATTCGTGGTTAGACTCTTTTTTCAGAGTCCATTTTATCAAACTTGATGCAAATTTTTTCCTGAAACTGATGTCAGATGAAATGAAAAACGGGTTCAGTGTATTGGTTTGTGCTATTATGTTTTTGTTCAACAAAAGAAATTATGTTTGATTTTATCATGGCTTGATTGCAAATGCATTTGCTCACCATGACATGTTTTATTTCATAATTGGACTCTCTTTCTTACCTCTTTTATATATGTCCTATGCTGGCGACATTGTTTTACTATTCTAACCAAAATGTTTTGAAAAGATACGAAGAGCATATAATAAACTGCAGGAATTTTTTTTTTTTTTAATTAGGGTGTTCAGATTAGCTTGCGTGCACCTCGACTAATCTCACCGGGTTCTGAAGTTAATGATCGGGTATACCCTCCAGTGATCATTTCTATTAGCAACTGAGGTGACTCAAACTCATTATCACGACCTCTTGAGTAATACCCCGAAGGGGGTGTTTGGTTGGGGGTTATGTGTGATTATAGGGGTTAAGTCATCTTATATTACTTGATTACTATGTTTGGTTGTCAAGTAATATAAAATACCAGTAATCTTCAAATACCAATAGTGATTACTATTGGTAATATTGGAGGTAATCTGATTACCTCAATTTTCTTAGGTATTCTAAGATTAACATGGTTATCTTTTTTTGTTACAATTCTATCCCTTATTAATAAAAATTTTGGACAATAATGCCCCTATTTTAAAATAAATTTACATTAATATACTATTTCAATTTTACCCTTGTTTAATTAAATTTTTGGACAATAATGCCCTTATATTTAAAACAATATACAAACCACCATTGATAGCAGGCCAACCACCACGGACCGCTGCCGGAAAGTCGTCGGAGTCTCTAAAAAAGACCGAGATTCGGTGGGAGGCTTTGATATTGCCGTTAACGGCCATGGACCTGGCCGTTAATGGCCAGATCTCGCCCAGATTTGGCTAATAATGGCCAAGGATCTGGCCGTTAACGGCTAGATCGAGAAATTGCCATAATAGATTTGGCCATTTCCGGCCAAATCTAGCCTGATATGAATGTTTTCGGCCATCAATATAGCTAGAAATGACCATATTGGAGCCTCTTGGTCACGGTGAGCTACTCACGACGACTTTCGAAGACTTCCGACGGTGGTTTGCGGTGGCGGTAGGCAGCAGCAAGGGGTGGAGGTGATTTTGTCATAAATTAAAGTTTTATATAAGCCGGGGTGTTTTAGCTAAATCTGAAATATTGAGGGTTAAAAGAAATTATTCAAAAATTAATAATAAAAATAATATTATATTATTATTTGAAAAGGGGACAATTTAGTAATTTAAATAACATACCCACCAATTTATTTCCCATAACCAAACATATTAATATAACATACCCAACAACTGACCAAATACATTTTTCTAAAGATTCCTAGTAATTTTCTAGGTAATATAAGATTCCAGTAATCCAACATTCCCTGAACCAAATGCCCCCAAAGAGTCGTTGCCTAGTCATTCGGTTACCTAATGGTGGTTAATTACAAGAAAATTAGAGACTATTAGAATAATTTCAAAAAAAAAAAAAAAAATTGTTACTTGGGGTTTGGTAGCCACTGCATCACG